ATACATCGATTTGTTGGCTTTATTAAATAGTTAGAAAGATTAGAGAGCTAATCTCTAAAAATCACTGTTTTAGAGCAGAAAGAGAAGCGTGGATGCACTCAATTAGGGAGGTCATGGGCATGAATTTATGGGCCTAAGCAGAGCACTGCAGGACCAGGGGGTCATGTATAAGTCCAGGGCAAGTTTTGGGGCTAAAATGATGGATTCTGATATGACACATGTATAAGTCAAGGGTAAAATTTAGGGGCATGTGACAAAGGATCTATAGGATGAAGCAAAAGAAAACAATGCCAAGGAATTTACAAAACTCCAGCAGGCATAACTGTTTGTGCTCCCACTAAAGGCTGGATGGATGAAAGAGCAGAGGGGGGTGGTCTGTGCTTTCAGGACAGATTACACTTTTGCCTTTCACCAAGGGGTGGATCCCTTTTAATAAGAGTTAAAGTACAGTACTTACATTGATCCGTGGATAAGTCGACTCAGGTTTTTTGGGACAATTTTTTGACTAAAATGTCTAGACTTATACATGAGTATATACAGTATCTGCTTATTCTCCTATCACATAAGAAAATTTTGGGGAATCTTATAGACAATTTTTTTTTAAAAAAAACACAGCCCTTGTTTTTAAGCCTTGGTCCTGTGATGTAATTACTTAAAAATGCAGGTTCTTAAAGAGAATGTAAAAGTGTTCTCTGTCTTAACTTTTTAAAAAATGTAGGTGTGAAATGTACATTGGGAATGTGGGGCAAGGAAGAGCATAAAACTGAGAAAGTTACATTTGTCAGGTGTTTGTTTTCTCCAGGTGGATAGGTCTAAAGTGATGTAAACTTTCTGAACTGGAATGATAGCATTTTGTGACTTCCCTGTATTGTAAATATGAAAGTAAGCACAATCATTAAAAACAACAACACAAAAACTTAAATATGGATGGTTGGTAGCAGGGAAAAATAGTATATTGTTTGTCATCAGTGATTTCTTAGGTACTAGCCAGTTGACTCACAACATATAACCATATTCCATACAGAATGTACTCTCATATCTTGGTTCTTTCTTGTGTGTATGGTGGAGGGGAAACCCACTAGTCAAATGTTATGAAATGTTGATAAAATAACTGTTCTCCAGTTCTCATGTTACTTCCATATGATTTCTGTGATGTAAAGATTCTTATACATTTACTTTTTGCATTATCAACAGTTACCGAGAACTGTGGGTTACTGATTCCTGGTGGCCATTTCAGTCACAATATGTGAATTGTGCATGCACTGTAAAATTTATTGAGCATTTTATTTTCTTTTGCGGGAATACAGTGTGATTACATAGCTACTGTGCTTGCCCATGGCTTTGCAAAATCTAAAAAATATTTAACCTTCATGTGACTCTGAGGGACATCATAGTCCCTCAGAGTCACATTCAGTTGCAGAATCCATGCAAACATAGATCTACAGTGTAAGCATTCAATTAGGATGTCTTCTTGACATTTGTTTAAAAATCACTAAATTTGAGTTTCTTGTAATTTACTTTTTGGTACACAAAACAAAAATAAACAAGGGAAATCCCAACAAATCTGTTGATATTTTTTTTGGCATTCTTTTCCCCACCCTTTTTGTTCCAGCTAATGTAACCTATTGGAACAAAAAGTATTCCCTGGCATTTTCAGTGAACTCTGATGCAACATAGTGAAAGAGATGTGCTCAGGTTGTCAACTGAAATTTTTCATTGTTGGGTGAGTGGGAGTTCTCACTGAGGTCAGGAAACAGCTCACAATTAAAAAGTGAGTGAGTGAATGAATGAGTGTGTGTGTGTGTGTGTGTGTGTGTGTGTGTGTACGCATGCCTTCAATTTGCATGTTGACTTACAGCCACCCCATAAATTTCATATGCTTTTCTTGCCAGTTCCTTCCTCTGAAGTATAGCCTACAGCACCTGGTATTCGGGTGGTCTCATCCAAGCACTAACCAGGGCTGACCCTGCTTAGTTTCTAAGATCTGAGGGGATCTGGTACCTTTAGGGTATGTAGGTCCATCTTAAAGAAGTATGCATGGTACCCAAACCCTAACCTGCTATATATTGGAATTTTAATTGGGATGAGTTACTATAGGAAGTGTACATGAAACCCTGACTGCCTCTTGCCCAAGAGTTTGACACAATTCTCCAAACCTCCCACTCATGCTAACTAGGGAATTGTCACCCAAAAAAGTAACTATTCCAGACTGTACTGTCAATACATGGGAATACTGTAGATTGGGACCAGAATATACCTTACAACTTCCTCATTGCACACTTTAAAAAGAAAACCATGGTGAATGATCACAGTACTGTGGCCCTGATAAAGCTTCTTAATTTCAAGATAAAAGTGACACGCTTATTGTATATTAGCAACCTGGAAAAAAAAATCAACTTTTTTCTGAATAGAAGTTTGGAATGACACAGAACTATGGAAAAGGCAACCAGTGGGCAGGGCTGGATTCCACAAAAAGGGATTGTGGCATCTCAAAGAGACTAACAGGAATGTGTCTGTCCTCTGACCCTCCCTTTTTATACTTGGAAGAATTTTATTCACAAGTGTTGACTGAATGAGGCAGGGCTTTGCTGATTTTAGTAGCACTGGAAATACTTTGACCCAAGGCAGCCAGTGTGGCATAGGGGCTTGAGCATTGGACTATGATTCTGGAGACCAGAGTTTGATTCCCAGCTCAGCCATGAAACCCACAGGTAACCTTGGGTAAATCACATTCTCAGGAGAAGGCAATGGCAAACCTCCTCTGAACAAATCTTGCCAAAAAACCCTCCATGATAGGTTTGCTGTAGGGTTGCCATAAGTCGTAAATGACTTGAAGGCACACAACACAAACACACAAAACACAAGGAAGGGATGGAGAACATGTGGCCTTCTAGATGTTGTTGGGCTGCAACTCCCATAGCCCTAAATAGCATAACCCGTAGTGAAGGATGATGGGAATTTCAGTTTGGAGGGCCATACGTTCTCCATTCTTGGCCTAAGGGGGTTTCCTCTTTGTGGTGCCCAAGAGTAATTATCAATATTGAACCATCATGATTTCTCAACACAAAGCTAATGGTACTTTTGGGATAATCGTGTAGATTGGATTCTTCTTAAATGTAAGCCTGCATGCAAACCCCTTTGCTTTGCAGCTGGGGAACAGTTTGCAGTTGACCAGATTTTGGGGGGTTGTGTGTGTGCATAATGGACAGCACTTTATGCTATTTGAAGAAGAAAGTTTGAAGCACTTTTATGCCAATTTTTTTATCAAATATATGTATTTTGGTAGAAAAACAGGGGGGCTGGATGGATGCACTATGTCCCTTCCCCAGCACTACTGGTCTCTGCTTACACACTTGCTCAGCATCTGTTCTGAACCACTGCTAGAAGCTGCTTCAGTGCCACTTGTATTGTCATCTACTGTATTGTCCCTGTCTCTGCTTTGGATTGCTGCTTGCAAGCTGTGTCTTCCAGCCAGTGGCTAAACCAGGGGTAGGCAACCTTTCCCCTTTAAGGGCCGAGGGACTTCAGCTCCCAGAAGCCTCAGCCATGTTGGCCAATAGTCCCATGTTGGCCAATAGCTCCATGGAGATTATGATTAAGTGCTGCACAGCCAGTCACATTGGGTTGTGTAATAAAGTCACTATGTGCAAGTGAAGCTTTCTGGGTGTCTGTTCTTTGCCTGAGAAGGGAGGTATAGCAGGGTTTCCCATTCCAAGGCATCCATGGGTCCATTAACACTTGCCCAAGGTCACCCAGTGGGTTTCCATGGTTGAGCGGGGATTTGAACCCCCAGGGTCCTAGTTGAACATCCAAACCACTACTCTACACTGGATCTCAAATGGTGTCAGGTATCCATGGTTAAATCTCTGGGGTGCTTGTCTTTTATCATTTTTTTTCTGCAGTCACATAAAATCATTCATATGGTCCTCTTTCACTGGCGCTTTGTTGGTTTGTGGTGAGGGGGAAACCCAGATTCCCCATTACACTTTGAATATGGCTGAAACACCTTAGAGCATTTTGGCCATGTAAACAAGTTAAAACTTCAGGTTACAAGTTATGAGACAGCTGATTGTGCATGTTTAAAAAACAATATTCACTTAAAATATAGGCTGTGAGTGCAAGATTCCCTCTAAGAGCTTTTGTTCGCACATATGCAGCATTTCTGTTAGCCACAAAGAGCATAATGTTTGAAGTAGAAAACACTTTTTCCCCCTTTGGTAAGGTGTCACTTCTCTTGTTCCCCTTGATCTCGTCTCTCTCTCTACCTCCTTCCCTTTTTTTTAGAGGGGCTCTGCTGGAAGTGATTATTTGGAAGAATGGTTTTCCTGTCTTGTGGAAAACAATAGAAAGCTGTAATAGGGAGGAAGAAAAGGGACTCTGCAGAGGATGTTTCATTTCCAGCTAGGAGGAAGTAGGAAGGATACCTCTGATGTGAGGATGAGTATCAATGGCCTTTTGAAGCAAATTTTCTGAGACACTTTAGTTATATATGTGTGAAGGGATGTTGCATCACCTTTGAGACTAACTGAAAAATAGAGGTTGGTAGCATGAACTTTCGTAGACTTGAGCCTACTTCCTCTATCTTTGTAGACTGATTTTCCATAGCTATATCTTTGAATTTTACTTATACAAGTTAGTCTGAAATTGTTCATCCAGATTTTCTGTGCAAGTAGTGATGAGCAGGATTTGGATTTGCCTATAGAGAGTTACATGTATGGCCAATTCCAGTGTAAGTTTTATACAATTGCAGGATCACTTATAATCATATGATCACCAGAAGTTTCTTCTGAATTAGTTGACATTTTGGGTGTTGACCATTTTTTGGGTATGTTTATGCTGGTGTGTGTGTGAGTGTTGTCACTGCAGAGGGAGAAAATCGCTATATCCCATACAACTCCCAACCCACTCAAAATCTTTATATCTCACGCTGTCCCTCTGACTGTTTAGGGATGGGGTAGGATGGGTGGAAAGTGGCAGAGAAGCCTTTGGCTGTGTACCTTAGCTGGACCCATGATGATGAAGGCATCCTTTTTGTGTATATTTTTATATGCTTTTCTCTAGTATGAGCAATTTTTGCCAGCAGATTGACCTCTGTATATTTTTCACTAATGTATGCATTTTTGTTCAAATTCTCCTCTTAATGCCTCTAATATGTGCATTTTTGTTTGCAGAATTGCTTCACAGAATTCTGAAAAGTGTGAACACTTGAAGGATCACTGCATATGGATTTGCATATTGATTCAGAAAATGTGAATTGGTAAGTTCCTAAAAAAAATGCAAACTAAACATTAGAGAGTCTACAGTAACAAAGACTATATATGTATTATATTATTTCATAATGTATATTATCAGAAAACAAATATGTTCCCTATGTGCTATATTTCTTTGATAAATACTAGCTTTCTGTGTAACACAATCTGTTACCTGATCATTGTTCAGTTCCAAGCGAACATCTAAAATTTTTGATTTATACTGAGTCCTCATTTTAAACTGGGACATTTTTACTGGGGAAATTTTCTTTAACTTTTTTTTAAAAAACCCATTTGGTTTGATTTTAACCTGGACCCTAATTTTTGGGTGTTCAAATCTGCATTTGTTCTGATTCAGAATTTAACTTTTTAAAGATAATTATATTTGTTACCTAAGAGTAAATCCCATTTAAAAATAGTATGGATGTTGGTCAGATAAACATGCAAGGGATTCTAGATGTATAGATTATTCCTGTACGTTTTTACACAGAAATCCAATCCCACAAAGTAGACCAAGTCTATGAAAACTTGTGCTACAGCTTCTTTGGCACAGATAGCCTCAAAGATGCTACAAAATCCCTTTTCATACTTTTACTTCCAGCATATATAGGCTTGCAGCCTCAGTGTTAGATATGTTAAGAATAATACTTTTATGTATTTATTTATTTCAAGGATTTATATCCTGCCTTTCTCCCACAATGGAATTCAAGGTGGGTTCTTGATGCTTTCTTTTGATTTTTTTGGTTTGTATTTATTTCAGATATCATATTTTGCACTCCAAAAGGAAAAAGAAATCTGCTTTGCAGATGGCCTTGGAAATAAAAGAATCTCCTTTTGATGTTTCTTTGAGGGCAAAGGTGAAGTGCTATGGTAAGTGAAATTATGTGGATCTAAAGGTGGACAATCCTGAATTACTTAGTAGGATTCACCGGTACTTCAATGTGGAGGATGAAGGGCTCTTGCTCAAAGTAGCTCAGTGTGGAAATTTCAGAAACAGCTGCAGTAAAAGCTAATACAGTCAGCCTCCACATTTGTGGCTTTGACTTTTGCAGATTTAATTATTTGTGGGTTTTATTAATATAGGGGGGATGCAGACGGGTGGCCATGGGCCACCCTGAGAAGCGGTGGATTGGGGCCGAGGCCCATGCCTCGGTCCCAATCCACTCTTCTGCCAGCCGTGGAAAGGGCGCCGGAAGAGGCGGCACGCGCCTCTTCTGTGTCTCTTCCATCACAGCGTGTCCGGATGCTGCAACGGAAGGACGTCATCGGACCGCTCGCTGTGTTCAACTGCAGGTGCTCCAATGATGTCCGCAGGAAAGGGTTGGGGCGTCCGACGTTCAGCTGCCCCTCCCCTTCCCTGCCTCCAAGACGGCGCAAAGCGCAGTCTGTAGAGGCCCATAGTTTCTCTAGGAATCTCTAGGTCAGGGGTAGGCAACCTTTCCCCTTTAAGGGCCGAGGGACTTCAGCTCCCAGAAGCCTCAGCCATGTTGGCCAATAGACCCATGTTGGTCAATAGCTCCTGGGATTCTGGGAGCTGAAGTCCCTTGGCCCTTAAAGGGGAAAGGTTGCCTACCCCTGCTCTAGGTTCTCCAACACAACTCTGCCAGAAGTTGACCATAGAGTTGTGCTGGAGGACTTAGAGGTTACTAGAAAAAACACTTTTCTAGGCATTTGTAAGTCCTCCAGTGTGATTCTGTGATCAACCTCTGGCAGATGTTGACCACATAGTGACTTTACAGACTGCCAGAAATAATGCAGCTTGAGGCCACTTTAACTGTCCTGGCTCAGTGTTAAGGAATCATGGGAACTGTAGTTTCTTGTAGCACCAGAGCTCTCTGACAGAGAACGCTCAATGTGCCAGAAAAAATACAATTCCCATGATTCCCTAGCACTGCGCCAGGACAGTTAAAGTGACCTCAAGCTGCATTATTTCCGGCAGTCTGTAAAGGCCCATAGTTGCACAGAAGGACCTAGAGATTCCTAGAGAGGTGTTCTCTCAGGTAAAAAGAATACTGCTTTTTTATTTGCATTTTTCCCACTTTGATGGGGGTCCTGTGCCCCTAACCCCACTGAATATGGAGGGCCCACTGTAATGCACTTTCAGGCTTTTTGGGAAAAGAAATGTTCTCTAAGATATTTGTCATGCCATCTAACAGGTTTTGTAAATGAAATATATGAAAAGATAGCCACAAATTTGCTAGACTGCTAGTAGTAGTGTCCACACATCAACATCAATCACTAGAAACTGGTGATTTGCACAGTTTTGCACAGGTGGCATGTGCTGCGAAGAACAAGAGGAGAGAGTATTTTAAGAATCCACATTTGGCAGTACTGCTAAGCTATTCTGAAGGAGCTTGATCAGTGCTTGCAGTTTGTAATATGTGTAACATGGGTTGTTATTGTTGTTTTTTTAACATAAAAGAGTCTACAGCCATCATGGTAAAGATACG